AAATTATGCAAATTGCGCCCGACTGCAAAGAGACGACTTGCCACTTTTTGTTCAGCCGGCGTGCGCACAAAGTTTTCCGTTTCGACAGACCAAAAGGACTTTATTATCAAATCTTTCACGCGGAATTTTTGCCGAAGTTTGCAAAGTTTGCCTCGCCGCCACTAATGGCTGACCTTTTTACGCGCAAAAATAAATCTGTTGCGTGTCTGAACTGTTGAAGATAAAATAAATGAGTGGATTGAAAACTTGCAATTTCACCTTTCGATTATCAATTTACAGAGAGACGCTTCTTTGCAGCGAAAAGTTTATCAAATTAACATTAAATTTCTTTTTATTCATAGATATTATTTTCTTAATCACAAATTCAATAAGCACGATTCAGAAAACAACTCAAGAGATCCCAGTTCATGAGAACCCAGAGAATCTTAATTCATAGGTTAAATGATTGATTCTGGTTGGATAATTATATATTTAGTTTGAATGCTTGAATTACATTGCTAAAGATGTAAGTTGATTTAAATTTGGTAACTGTAATAAAATTTATTCGACTATTACAGCATTTCTATAAAAAGAGTTCATTAAATAGAAAAAAACACAAAAATGCGTGATTTAAAGTTAAAATTATAAATACTTTTAATAATAAAAAATCTGATATAAAAAGACAAATTTATTTATCTGAATTTTAAAACTTATTTAAGCACTATCATAAAATCAGTCTGCTAAATTCTATTAATCGAAACAAGGCAAATGACATAGCATTACTTGTAAATCGTTTCCATTTTAGCTCTATAGTGTGAACATTTTACTTCTGAAATTGGTTTTGTATTCCGCGTGTTGCTCGGGCAGAGCGTCTGGCAGCTCAATTAAGCCCCGGCAGCTTGATTGAATTTGCAAACGCCACTCCTAGAGCAGAAGCTTGCTTGACTCAATCGACTTACTGGTTCATCCACTGCTGGGTCAATAAACCGGGAAAGGCAGCAACAAGCAATACGATTTACGCTGAAAACTGTGTGTTTGTGGGCGACGCCCTTCGTTTGCTTACGAGTTCTCATTATTTTGCTCTGATAAGCACGAGAGAGATTTGCCTCCACTTGAGCCGCGCAACATTCACAAATATATAAACCTGGCAAAAAAAAAAAAACTTTTGTTTGTCATAAGCTTTATTTGCTTTTGCTTCGAATGGACGACAAAATTAATACGGTATGGCGTCTCGGCCCACTGAATTTAGTATTAACACTAATTAATTAATTCGGCTTGATGAACTGATCAGAAATTGAAGAGAGATTGCAATGTTGCCAATTAACATCACTGGAAAACATATTTCTCCCTTGGGAGATCGTTTTGTGACGTAAAAACTGGTATAAAGTTGCTGATAATTGAAAGCAATAAAACACAATTACACTAAATAAATTTGCAGATCAAACCCAAGGGATATAAATTTTCAGTTTGGCAATATCCAGCAAACAAATCTAAAATGGATAATAATTTAAAGAAAAAACTTAAGCCTCAAACTTTCAATCAATATAATTTTAAATAGAAAAGTGACTGACAGCACAGACTGATTGTGAGACAATTAATTTTACAAAGTATAAAAAAAAATGATTTCTCAATAGAAATCAACTTACATTGATACACATATTTCCAACATTTAAAGTGTTTTTAGACAAATAATGCCAAATTTCCCTGAGCAGGCTGAAAATATAAAAATGCAATTGCACATATTAGTCAATCAGGAAAAAACTTTGTCAATCAAGAATTAGAGAAATTAGGGGAATACAGATGTTTTTTAAAATTAAATTTAACTGAAGAAGCAGGTCATGGTTTGTTTAACATGGCGTACGGAACAAACAAAAGGTCGAATGGAGCTGCGACCGAGAAATAATTCAATGATGGATCCACCTTAGGATAGAATGGGGGCCATTGTGTGATTTGTGGAGGTCGGCGGCGGCTTTTACGGCCCTTTTGTGTCGCACAAAGCGGAGCAGCCGAGTGCGAGAAATGCGCCAAAGTAGTTTCGAGTGCATTTTCCTTCTATAAAACTATGCTCTCGGGCTAATAAGCACTCTCGCGATTGTTATTAATAATCAGGCCGGAGCCAATGGCCCGAGGACTGTCAACCCTCGGACGAGTTTTCGGGCCGCTCTTGAACCACTGATCCGGAATGTTACATCAAGAGCTATCTCTCTCTCCTCCATTTTCGGCGAGCAAAAACTTTTTCCATAACTTGTGTTTTATGGCTAATGTTTTACCTTGCAAATCATACCTTCCCTTTTATCCCTGGTGATTCAGCGACGCGGCAAAAGCATCGACGGCGTTCTTTCTCTCGCCTCGCTGCTCGCCTACCTTCAAAGGGAAATATTTTCATTTTAGCCTCCACATGCGTGTGCATGCTTCGCCTTGTTTACTTTCAGTTGCCATATCTAATAAAAGTAGTTGTTGCTTGGAATTTTCGCGAACGCACGCAAAACTTTCATGCACGTGTGTTCTCTCGGTTGAGCTCATTTTTAATTATACACGCACTTTGCATCCCACGAGGGCTTTTCTCCTCACAAACCAGCAAGTTTTGCACACAAAATTTGCTATTTTATTTTATTTTTCTATTTAAATTTTCATTTTTAAGTTAATAAAAGAGAATTACACAAAAATGACAAACTCTGTATGGTTAAATTTATTAATCCTCGACAACAAATTAATTTGAAAAAAAATTAAATTAGAACTCTAGTACAATTTTAAATTAAAATAGAACTAACATAGTATAATAATATATTTCAAGGAAAACTAGTACAATATGTGCAAAATAATTTAAAAACAAGATATTTCTTTTTGGTTTAAAAATATTCCTTTCTTGGATTAAAATATAAAATAAGTTTGGAAAATTAACCGATCTATTAAGAAAATTAAATTCTTTGGAAAAGAAATAATTCGTCACTAGTGTCACTACGACAATTCTCTCTTAAAAATAATTCTCTAAAGGGTCACAAATTTTTCATAATTGTCGCTCTAACTATTTTGTAGGTGTTCATACTCTAACGTAGTTCATAAATTTGAATTTAATGCTAATTACTTATTATTAATAATTGAATTCCAAAGATAAAGAAGCTGCTCTTTTTATTTCTCGTACTAGTATTTGAATATTTTCAGAAAAAACTACTTGTTTGAAAAAGGTTGGCTTGTGCGTGACCCAATTAAAATGGGGTCAGAACTTGGTTTTAAGTATACAAATAAATGTCTTTTCGCGCCCACGTAACCCTTAAACATTATTTACAATTTTCGAAACGCACTTCCAGGCAAAGATGTGCGGGGGTCGTTGTCAACGATGGCCATCATAACAACAATAACGACGTGTGGTGTCGTAAAAGATATCGCATTTTCATGGTGAGAGAGCTGCAACAATCGTCGTCACGCCGACGTGTGTTGCAATATTATTAAATTGTTTTGTCCAGGCCACTGGCGTTTACGGTTATTATTGTGCGCGCATTAACTTCGCCTGCTGACTTGCACACTTTTCACTGTATAGCGAAAAAATAAACGCACAATCCAATAAGAAGCCATTTATTCGATTGCAAAATCTCCTTGTAATGATAACAGAAAGAAGTTATTTTAAAAGAAGAACTAATATATCTATGAAAGAGTCAAGAACTTTTAAATAGGATAAATATATTTTTTTATTCTTTTATCTATAATATTAAAATATATAAATCACCTATTTATTCCTTTTCCATTCTATTTATAGTTATTTAATAGAGCAAAAAAGATGTTCATATAAAATATGTCCATGAAAAGCTGATATTTGACCCAGCTTTAACTTTCGCGTTTTTAGCCTAAATTAAAAATTGTCTGTGTGGAAAATATCAATTGAATCATTAGTATCATTACTATCAGTTGATAAATTTCAAATAAAATTAATTTTGAGGGAGCGAATTCAGAAAATAAAATGAAATAAGAATTATTATGGAATCGTCATTAAATTCCAATTTAAAACATCTTTTTTCAATCTCTAGCATAAAAAAAGCAACCCACTTTTCTTAACTAGAATAAAGAAATGTTGAAAAAATAATTAATATTTTACTCTGCGGTTTCTTGTCATGTTGAAGGGTAGCTGGAGAGCCTTGTTACTCTCTTGCAAGAAAAACATATTATGTTATGAAGTCACTTACGGGTGTAGTTAGTGGGGGCACACAATTCTGCGGCCTCTCTCTCACTCTCGCATGACAAGGCGAGGTGCCAAGATTGATGTTGAATATGCTAACCTCTTGGCAAGCCGGGCGGTCGACTCATAAACGCCCTGTTTTTCATTACGTTTGATTGATTGTTGCGGCGCAAATCTTTTTTGGTCGGCGCAAATCGGGCGTTATCGCGAGAGTCGAAAGCAAATCTCCTTGACCTCGGGGATAATGGCCCTGCTACTGTTTGGCCTCTCGTGAAAAATGATCGAGGTGAGCAGAGCACGCCCCCGCAGCGTCTTATTAATTTCTTCTCTTGGATGCTTTCATCAGACCACGATTAATCTGTCTCCTCTAGTCACAATAAAATGTAATTTATTGAGTCTTCCTTATTATGTAAATCTAGAAATCTACACTGAAAATCCTTAGTCTCGTCGCAGCACTAGTTAGTTCCGTGATTGCACAAAATAACGACGGGACTAACTATTGCTGCGATGGGATTTTCATTCTAGGAGAGCTGTCATTTAAAGAAAGGGTGATTTTTTTCAAACAATTGGAAAGTCGCAGTGAAATTTCTTAATGAATTTATTTTAGTCAACCTAGAAAAATGAAATAAATTCGATATTTGTTATTTTTTCTTCTTCTCAGAATAAAATTGATATTTTTTTTTTAAATAGTCAATTTGTTTCCACATTCCATAATTAGTAAATAATTAAACATTCGTACAATTATTTGCTCCAGTTTCTTAATCAATATAATATCAATTATGTATCAAGCAAAAATGAAGTCAAAATCTTGATCAAAACTTAATTAATTTTTTTTTATCAGCATGCCAATTATATTAACCAATCCATCAAATCATTTCTCTCATTACATATATTTAAGTGCTGTATGAATATTTATTCGCAAATAAAGTATGTATAGCCGGTATCAATATATTCCAGTTCACAATTTTGGTGTTTTCCTGCATCATTTTCGAGGTAGTATAGGCTTGCACCAAGGCCGGAAAAGAAATAGGGTGCATAGCAGTTAGTTTTTTCGCAAACAGGGGGCGTGTATTTCTGTAAGTAGTACATGGCGGTTGGGATTACTGTTTTTGAGCGGCACCACGAATCTGTCCCGTCACCGTTGGCGAAAGTCTCACCAACGTAAGCATAGCCGGTACACCCTTTAAAAAAATTATGTTTGTTATGGATGCAGCAAATTTTTACTGTTCCGTACAATTAATTAGACGTAGCCAAATCTCATCGAATTGTGCTTTTGTTTCAAATTCAGCCAGACGCATTCCGTAACTGCAGCAGTAGTCGTACGCCTGATAGTGAGTCTGTTTGAAAATCAATTTTCTTTATGAATTTTAACAGAGAAAACTATTTTCAAACGATTGGGAGATTGCAGGAGCTGACGAAATACTTTCCACCGTTATCACCTGTTACAATTGCTCCCTCTGTTGCTAAAAGTTGAATATAGTATAATCAATTTGTATTAATTTTTGAGCTGAAGTTAGGAAATAGTTACTCTTCGGATTTTGCTGCAAAAGGTTTACAAGCGTGCTCTGTATATATGATCAAATTGTAATATTTAGTTTCTTCAAAGTATATAGTGTAGCGCATAAAAGCTTAATTTAAAAAGTTTTCCACTTTGTAATATTGAAATATCTTGCTAGCAACTGTCAAGATTAAATCAACTTTTTGTTTTCAAAAGTGATAATTTAACATCCTCCCTCCGTTAAAAAGTAACTTTTATGTACAAATATTTTAAGCAATTTCGGTTTCCCAATAATATTAATTAATTTACGTTAGCAACGCATGGACGGTCAAGCATTCTACACTTCCGGAAAGGAGTCCCAATGCACGGTGTGGGGGGTTTGTACTGCAAATTTGTTTCTTTTATTTAATAATTTTTTTACTTTTAATTATCTGAAATACGATTGTGTTGTTGCCCAATTTGCTGCTAAAAATAGCGTTTGTGACCATGGGGTCATTTTCTCTGCCGCACTGGTAGATGTTTGCTGCAGTAACGCATTCGTCACTGTATCCTAGGTGAAGCAAAGATATTTTTTTTGTGACATTGAAATAAATTACATAAATTTTTAACTTTTAGAATTGCACGTGTCGTAAGCATTGAAGGAACGTTGTAAGTCAACTTCGTCATTATTGATATCTTCGATTAAACGTAACACGTCCCCAGAGGGTGAAAGTCCTCCCAAAGAAAACTAAACATATTTTGTCAACAACAAAAATTTTTCACTCTGAATTTTTATCAATAATATTTCGTTCGATTCCCCTTCCCCAAAACTCATTAGCATGAAATTCTAACCATGTTTAAGTTTTCTCCAATGCACTTGATGAAACACTAAAATTTTTTGATAAATTTTAAAATGTTATTAAAGAGAAAATTCCAAACTTTTAAATTGAGCTGAATTTTTGATGCATTATACGCGGTCAGAAACACCAGCATATCAGCTGCAAAAGTGGTCAGCAAATAAACAATATGTGAATTCATACACGCTAATAAAAAAACACTACTTGAAGAGACGTTCCAAATCTCCATGCACTCCTTCTGCAAAGCGTCCGAAGTGGTCCCAGTATTTCGCACCTGTTTTTATTGGATTAAGAAATTTCAAAATGTTAACACGCAGCTTACCTCGCAAATAAATAAAAGTTCTTTTGAACAGTTGTTTGTGGCATAAGTACTCTGATTAGCGGTCGTATTGGAGAAGTTGACTGACACGCAATCACCGGCAATGCTGTCTGGCGCACCTGATTTCCAATTCACATCTCTCGAGATGAAATCTCTTTCGATTGAGCACCACCGATACCGTCCATCACAATCCTTGTCGCTTCCAGAAGTCCAAAAGTCAATGTTGACAAGAGAAGAGTCTTTTTTTTAACAGGTGCGTTAGTTTGTCCATTCATAAGTTCAACATATAAACGAAACCTTTGACGAAATCAGAAATGCATCGATGCTTATCTCCGTACTCGACCGCAAGTAGCGTCATTCCGATTGAGCAACACACGTTGTAAGCGCCAGACCAATTAGTCTTTATCAACTATTAGTTGTAACCATAAATAATTCAAATGTATTTACTTTAAAATTGGAGAATAAGAATGTTCTCCCGCAGGAACTAAACCAATTGCCGTAACCAGAGTAATCTATGTAGCAGAGGTTAATTATGTTTCATTCAGTTATATGCAGAAAATTTCACTTCGCAATTGATCTTCAGCATCAAACAGCGTTGTCTATAATTTAAAAAAAAAAGGTTGAAAGAATTTTTTAATTAAGGTAAGTAATAACCTCACATTTTTTGTACACTCGTAACTAGGACACTTTGCCACCTGGCAAGCCGGTACCTTCGGCTGCCCCTTTTGAGTATTGAATATGAAAATTTGGTATCATAAAATGTTTGAATTTATCTACGAAACTCACTTTACAAGCAAAAACGTATTTATCTGTGCAGTTCCGATCAGACAAGACGACACCAGAGGAGTTTTGATTCAGTCTCATGTGCAGACATTCTTCGTTTCCCGCCTTGTTGTCCGGTTGACCTGACGACCAGGTTAGATTGTCGTTCAAATCTAAAAGTCCCGAGCTAGAGCACCACGCCCATCGACCCCTGCACCCTTGCTGCGTTCCTCCCGTCCAGTAATTGAAGTTTAACGTCCAGTTGCCTTTTATTAATAGATATAAATTGTGCTTATTTAGCATTTTGCTTCAATACTGTTTGTAAAATTGGACAAGCAAGATTGCTCTTGAGCAGTTTCGATGATGATAGGAGTCATTCCCAGGCTGCAACATTTGTCGTAATTTTCTCTCCACGTTCCCTGCAATTCAAGATTAACAAATACATGCAAAAACATTCGCAGCAAAAACATACAATCGAGTTTCCAAACAAGTACTTGTTTCCACAAATTGAAGCTATGTAACCATGTTTCTCAGGTTCTGAAATCCATATATTGAGCGGTAATATTTAGTAAAATTTGGTATTGTATATGTAATTTATTAAATAAACCCTTTATTGATCCGTCTGCTAAAAATAGCGTATCCTATAAAAGAAAAATTTGTTTTTCAAAAGAATAAAAAAAAAAAAACAATTGCAGTTTTAACATTGGCTTTGCAAGTTGCAGGGCATGAAGGTGTTTTGCAGGATGGCTGAAAAATTTTACGTTATTCTCTAAAAAAATTCAGCATGAAACCCCTACGCCGCATATGTAGGCCAATTTATTTTCGCATTGTGTGAAGTAAATGCTCGCCGACGTAGCATTGAATTGGATCGCAATGCAGCGATCTGTTATCGCGTTGAACGTCTTGGCGATGGACCAGTATTTTAACATAGTGACATCATCGGGTGCCACAGTGACGTTTGGTGCACACCACGTGTACACATTTTCAACGTCGCAAAAGCTTCCATCATTGGCCCCCGAAGTCCAATAATTAACGGTGCTGCCTTTATTTGCTGAAATAAATAAAACAGGAATCTGATGTAGGGATCCGGTTTCGAAACAGCCAGGTCATTATCCATACTTTTCCACAATTTCACGTAGATTTCCATATCATTTATTGTTGGGACGGATATGACGGCCATGTTTTTTTGCAGACAGCTAATAACTGCTTCTTTTAATGTTGTCTACAATTTATTTAATTACAGTCAATGTAACTGAATATGTAATTTCAGTACAAACCAGTTCAGTAATAATGTAAAACATTGTGCTAGTAATGATTGAGTATTTTCCCACTTGCTCTAAAATAATACAAAATAAACATTAAATATCAATAATTAATACATCATAATATGTTTGTTTATACGAGACACCGTCGAAGATTGCAATGCCTGATTAACAGAATACAAATGCTCATTAATCGCTACATTTTAGCACTCATTTATGAAATATTGATACCTTTGTTCCATTTTTGTAATAGCCACAAGCAGATGACTGACATAGCTGGTTTTGCGATTTAAAAAATAAAATGTAAGAAATTTTTTGATTCGAATACTCTTGGTTTTGTCGTGGTTGTTGTTGTGGTGGGGGTGATGGTGGTAGTTTTGGTAATAGTTGAGGTGGTTAAATCTGAGGTAGCAGGATTGATTTTCCCCAAAGTTAGCACTGAATTCGAAACAATTCCTAGTGCAAGTCCATTTGACTGTATGTTTGGTGAAGCAGAAGTAGTGACCAAGCCGCTTGAATCTACCATGACCGTTGCTGAAGGAGGTAGTGTGCTGTCTGCAATGTTTGTAGGAGCAGATTGATCGCTTGGTAGTGCTATCGATATATAGACGTTAACTTATTAAAAACTTTTTGCCAACTTCAAAAATTTTACAATTGACCGTTTCTAAGGGAGGACCAATTGTTACGATCTGCGGTAACTGGGATGATGAGAACAATTGAACGGTTGTTTGATCACTATTTCCTCCAATTCCAGCAGTAAACTGTGAATTTTCAGCATTGGTAGATGACAAACGTACTTGATCGATTAGAGTTGTTTCAAAATCAGAAGATACTTTTGGTTCTCCGGGTAAGAAAACGCTCTGTAAATGAGAAAAAAAATATTTATGTAATGGGAGTTTTAAAACTATTGAAATGTTGTCTCTTATCACGGATATTTTTTGAAGATCATGTTTTGTGGTTACTGAAGTGGACACATAACTGAACCTGCTGTAGTTAGTTTGCTTGCTGATTTCACTGCATTTCAGTTTCCCGCAGCAAGACACAATGATCTTCCGATGCAATTTAATTTTTTCACGAGTTTGATCTAAAGCATGATTTAAGCGTCATAAAACTTGTTAAGCATTGCGTTACTAACAGGCATTGAGAATTCCTTTTTTCTGAACAAAAGTTTTAATTTTAATGCTGGAACATAACATGTTGCAAAGGACCTAAATTAAAAAATACCAAACATTGAATAATTATATCTCATTAAGAATATGTTTTACATAAGCTGCAAAGAGAACCAGGCCGAATTTCATTTCGAAATTATTTCATCCGCAATGTTGGATTCAGAAAAATGAATTGAGTTAAACATTGATTGCCATGCTGATGTAAAATGAGCATAGCCTTTCCGCTTGCCTGTGTTGAAACTTTTTCCCCGTATTCATAGTCGAATGATTCCACCCAACGTCCTTCACTGCCGGATGAAAACACTACTGGCATGCAATTATTGAATAGATTTGCGCCAAATTAAAAAAGGGCAAAATCGCCACCGATCGCGTTCTAAATTGATATCTTGACTCTTTTGCAAGAATTTCTTTATTTGCGAATTTAAGCGGAATAATTAGAATCACTAATTTTACGTTAAAATTCGCAAAATAAATTCAAAGTAAATTATTTTGAATTTTTTCCATAAACATTTACCATTTTTCATCATTATATATTAACAAACTATATTCGCTCCATTTTTTGAACGTTAATAATAATAATAAAAAGAGTTATTAACACATCATTTTTATTTACAATCTTAACATAAACCCTAATGGGAGCCATTGAGGAAAAACAACCAAGTAGTTGATTTTGTTACAAATAACTTCTTACAACTATTTCCGGAAAATTTATAGTATTTATACAATAAATTGACACAACCAAAAACTGGTACTGTTTATCGGCCAAAATTTATAATATCAAATTAATTAATTCGCTTAGTGATAGAATTTCACAATCGAAGGTTGATAAGATCATGGTGATTTGAATTTGAAATCGGCTTTTCCTTGATGAGTTGTCATAATTCATGTTTGCAATAAGGGTTAAATAGTTAGCATCCATTCATGATATCAAGCGATTGTGAGCAATATTCAAAACACTGCACATCATATTATTCATAATTTATGCAAAGGGGTCATATTCAGAGAGAAAGGCAGAGAGATACGTTTTTGTATGTTTGATGTAGAGAGATGGCTTCAACTTGACGTAGGAGATTAAAATAAATTAAAGGGTAAAAATATTAATTATCCTAATTTATTTAGAAATTAATAAATAAAATAAATAACAGCATTTTTTGTTATTCTAACGGGAACTTGATTATCAAAGAATAGGAATTAAACACTTTTTTAAATATATAAACAGAAAAACTACCCAATAAAATATTATAGTTTATTTGTGACACCTTTCAAGCCAATGCACAGGTTGGTTGGCAAGCGGTCGTGGATTTATTTTCAAAAATCAGGTGAAAAGGACACATAATTTGACTGATTTTGGCGTGGACGAAACTTGAAAGATAAAAAATCCCTGAAAAACGCAATTGCGAGTTTCAACTTAAAAATTTAATTAATTTTAATACTTTTATTTCTTTATTTTTTCTCTATTCAATAAATTGAAATACACAACATCTTACATTAAGAAAATTATCAACAAATTTATAAAAATAGCATTAAAAATACCCTGTGAGCTGTTAATCAAAGTTTTTGATCATTTTTTTGTTGCATAGCAAAAACAAACTAAATTGGAAAGTTGTATTGAAAGACGTTCTTTCTTTGTTCAATAAACAACATGCTGTTTATAATTTGTAAATAATCATTGTGTGGACACCTAAAAAATATAATAATTTTGATATTTTTCTTATTCTTCAGCATGAATAAACATTATATCATTATAAATTGACAATTTGTGTACGCATTTTGTAATTAGTCAATGACTACATATTTGTACAAATATTTGCTTCAATATAGCATCAATCAATCAATATAGCATAATATAAGTATCAAAATTAAATGACGCAAAAAGAACTTTGCTTAGCCAATTTTATTGAACAATTCATCAAACTATTGCTCTTGACCATTCCATAAATTTTAATGTATTATGAATATTTATTTGCAAATAAAGTATTGGAGGCTGGGATCAATATATTCCAATTCACAATATTCGTGTCGACTTGCATCATTTTCGAGGTAATAAAGGTACGGACCACCGCTCACAAAGAACATGGGTACAAAGCAACTAGTTTTTTCGCAAACAGGGTTTTTGTAAACCTGTGGCGAGTACATTTCGGTTGGGACTACTTTTTTTGAGCGACACCACGAATCTGTCCCATCACCGTTTGCGAAAGTCTCACCAGCATAAGCATACCAGTTGCACACTTAAAAAGAGATGTTGATTATATCGAAGCAGAAAATTGTAACAGTTCCATACCACCCACGAGGAGTTGCCATAGCTCATTGAATTCTGCCATTGTTTCGAATTCAGCTAGACGCATTCCGTAACTGCAGCAGTAGTCGTGCGCCTGATAGTGAGTCTGCATGAAAACCACATTTAGATTCATGAATTTTAACAAAGTAAATTATTTTCAAACGAATTGGGTATTGCAGTTGCTGACGAAATACTTCCCACCGCTAGCAGTTGTAAGAAGTTGTCCCTCTGGTGCTAAAAAGTTAAAGATGGATGAAGTTAATCTTTACATGCCTTTGAACCAAAGCGAGGAAATAATTACTCGTCGTGTTTTGCTTCAATTTGTTAACAAGAGTGCTCTGTATAAGTGTTTGAATTGTATAATTCAGATTTTTAAAAGCGTATAAAAAAGCTTAGAGGTTTCAGCTTTCAGCTTCTTGATAAATATCGCAAGATATGTAGTATATAAATTGAATCAACTTCCTCTTCAAAAGTCGGTGAAATTTATAAATAAATAAAAACACAGGGGCCAAGTAAATTTTTAATTATAGCAAATTTTTGAGCAACTTCTGTAGGCCCATAAATTAATTTACGTTAACAACGCAGGGACGGTCAAGCATCCTGCACTTCCGGTAAGAAGTCCCAATGCACGGTGTGGGGGGATTGTACTGAAAATGATTTTATTTGTATGAAATTTTATTTCTAATTATCTGAAATACGACTGTGTTGTTGCCCAGTTTGCCGCTAAAGATAGTGTTTGTGACCGTGGGGTCATTGTCCCTGCCGCACTGGTAGATGTTTGCTGCAGTAATGCATTCGTCACTGTACCCTGAGTGAAGGATAAAAAATTTTATTGGCTATAATAATTAAGGTAGAATCTTTTTAACTGATAGAATTGCACGTGTCGTAAGCATTGAAGGAAGTTTGCAAGGCGTTTTCGTCATCATTGATTTCTTCAATTAAACGTAACACGTCTCCAGTTGGTGTAAGTCCACTCAAAGAAAACTAAAATATTTGGTTAGCAAATGTAAATTTTTCACACTGAAATTTTATCTGTAAGCATTTTGTTTGGTTCCCCAAACACTAAAACATAAAATTCTGACCATATTTAAGTTTTGTCCAATACACTTGATGAAACACTAAATTTTATTGTTAAATTACAAAATTTTATTAAATCGTTTTTTTCCGAACTTTTAAATTGAGCTGAATTTCCGATGCATTGTACGCGGTTAGAAACACTAGCATGTCAGCTGCAAGTTTAAGAAATAAATGAATTATGCATTTGTACAAACCGTACAAACTAATAGCAGTACTTGCAGAGACGTTCCAAATCTCCATGCACTCCTTCTGCAAAGCGTCCGAAGTGGACCCAGAATTTCGCACCTATTTTCAATGGATTACCATTTTGCAAAATTTTAAAACGCCATTTACCTCGCAAATAAATAAAAGTTCTTTTGAACAGTTGTTTGTGGCATAAGTACTCTGATTAGCGGTCGTGTTGGAGAAGTTGACTGACACGCAATCACCGGCATTGCTGCCTGGCGCGCCTGATTTCCAATTTACATCTCGTGAGATGAAATCTCTTTCGATCGAGCACCATCTGTACCGCCCATCACAATCCTTGTCACTTCCGGATGTCCAAAAGTCAGTTTGGACTAGAGACGAATCTTAATTTCAACTATTGTGTTAATCTTTCAATTTATATAATTATATAATTTTGAAACCTTTGACGAAATCAGAAATGCATCGATGCTTATCTCCGTACTCGACCGCAAGTAACGTCATTCCGATTGAGCAACACACGTTGTAAGCGCGTGACCAATTTGCCTTTTTAAAAAATAATGTTTTTCCCAAAAATTAAAATGTTTTTACTTTTATATTGGAAAATAAGAACGTTCTCCCGCAAGAACTAAACCAGTTTCCGTAAGTAGAGTAGCCTTTGCAGCAAAAAATAATCTTTTTACATTAAGTTCTGTAGAGGAAACGTTTACCTCTCAATTGATTTGCAGAATCAAACAGGTCTGTCTGCAAATAAAAAAGAATTAGCGTTGAAAATTCATAAGAATTAATTCACACATTTTTTGTACACTCGTAACTAGGACACTTTGCCGCCTGGCAAGTCGGTACCTTCGGCTGCCCCTTTTAAATATTGATAATCAAAATTCGGTAAAATAAAATTTTGAATTTATCTACGCTACTCACTTTACAAGCAAAAACGTATTTATCGGTGCAGTTCCGATCAGACAAGACGACACCAGAGGAGTTTTGATTCAGTCTCATGTGTAGACATTCCTCGTTTCCCGCCTTGTTGTCCGGTTGACCTGACGACCAGGTTAGATTGTCGTTCAAATCTAAAAGTCCCGAGCCAGAGCACCACGCCCATCGACCCCTGCACCCTTGCTGCGTTCCACCCGTCCAGTAATTGAAATTTAACGTCCAGTTGCCTTTTTTTGATTGAAATAAATTTTTTTCATAACTTTTTATATCTAAAATACTCTTTGTGAAATTAGACAAGCAAGATTACTCTTGAGCAGTTTCGATGATGATAGGAGTCATTCCCAGGCTGCAACATTTTTCGTAATTTTCTCTCCACGTTCCCTTTAATTGAGGTTGAAAAAATAAATTCAAAAAAATCTGCAGCTGGCATATTACAATCGAGTTTCCAAACAAGTACTTGTTTCCACAAATTTGAGATATGTAACCATGTTTCTCAGGCTCTAAATTCCGTATATTGAAAGATAAATTTTGGTAAAATTTTGGTATCTGTTTTATATAAACCCTTTATGGAACCGTCCGCTGAAAACAGCGTAGCCTGTGACAGAATAATTACTTTTTCAAAAAGGATTCAAAACTATTGCAGTTCGTACATTGGCTTTGCAAGTTGCCGGACAAGTTGGTATTTTGCAAGCAGGCTGCAAATTTAAAGATTCATGACTTATTTTTTTGACCAATCCAACCTAAATCCCTACGCCGCATATGTAGGCGAATTTATTTTGGCATTTTGTGTAGTAAATGCTCGCCGACGTAGCATTGAATTGGATCGCAATGCAGCGATCTGTTATCGCGTTGAACGTCTTGGCGATGGACCAGTATTTTAACATAGTGACATCATCGGGTGCCACAGTGACGTTTGGTGCACACCACGTGTACACCTTTTCAACGTCACAAAAGCTTCCATCATTGGCCCCAGAAGTCCAATAATTAACAGCGCTGCCTTTATTTACTGAAAAAATAAAACAGGAATCTGATGTAGGGATCCGGTTTTGCAACAGTCGGGCAATCATCTATACTTTTCCATAATTTCACGTAGTTTTCCATATCATTTATTGTTGGAACGGATATGACAGCCATGTTTTTTTGCAAGCAGCTAACCACTGCGTCACTTAATGTGGTCTGCAATGGATGGAATTTCAACCAAAGTGATTGAATTGATTTCAGTACAAACCAGTTCAGTCACTATGTAAAACATTGTGCTAGAAATGACTGAGTATTTTCCCACTTGCTCTAAAATCATGTAAATTATTAAATATCTATATTTTATACATAATATAGATTTATACGGGACACCGCCGAAGATTGCAATGCCTGATATACAATAGAATAAAATTTCCGTTAATCATATGAAATTTTAGTGCCTGCTCCTTCAAAATTGATACCTTTGTTGCATTTTTGTACAAGGCACAAGCAGATGACTGACAAAGCTGGTTTTGTGATTTAGAAAAATAAAAGGAAACAAATTTTTTGACTTAAATACTCTTGGTTTGGTTGTGGTTGTTGTTGTTGTTGTTGTGGTGGTGGTGCTGGTTGTGGTGGTGGCGGCGGCGGTGCTGTTAATCTTGGTAACAGTTGTGGTGGATATGACTGAGGCTACAGGATTGATTTGCCCCAAAGTTGTAGGAGAGGTTTGCGTGGCGCCCGGGCTCACTGCGCTTACAATAATAAGCACCGGATTTGAAATAGTTTGTTGTGCAGGTCCATTTGTTTGTATGTTTGGTGATGCAGAAGTAGTGATCTGGCCGCTTGAATCTACTATGGCTGATGCTGAAGGAGGAAGCGTGCTGTCCACAATTTTGGTAGGGGCAGGTTGATCGCTTGGCAGTGCTGTTAAAAAAGACGTTTATTAAAAGCGCTTTCACCAACTTTACGAATTTTACGAGTAGCTGTATCTAAGGGAAAACCAATCGAATGGCTTGTTACGATCGGCGGTAACTGAGATGCTGCGTTTAAGTTAACATCTTCGACGGTTGTTTGATCACTATTTGCTCCAATTCCAGCAGTAAACTGTGAATTTTCAGCATTGGTAGATGACAAAGGATCTTGATCATTTTGAGCCGTAACAAAATCAGAAGATATATTTGGTTCTCCGGGTAAGGAAACGCTCTGAAAATGAGAATAAAAATGGTAATGGGATTTTTAAGCTATTGAAATGTTTTCTCGTATCACGGGTATTTTTTGAAGATGATTGTGTTTTGTGGTTGCTAATGTAGACACTTGACTGAACCCGCTGTAGTTGGTTTGCTTTCTGATTTCACTGCATTTCAGTTTCCCGCAGCAAGACACAATGATCTTCCGATGCAATTTAATTTTTTCACGAGTTTGATCTAAAGCATGATTTAAGCGTCGTGAAACTTGTTAAGCATTGCGTTACTAACAGGCATTGAAAATTCCTTTTTTCTGAATGTATGTTTTAACTCGAATGCTGGAACATATGTTGCAAAGTACCTGAATTGAAACACATTAAACATTGCAAATTATATGGAAAAAATGTTTTACATAAGCTGCAATGAAAACCAGGCCGATTTTCATTCCGAAATTTTTTCGTCGTCCGCACTGTTGGATTCAAAATGTTTTTGTTCAATATTGATTGCTATGCTGATTTAAAATGAGCATAGCGTTTCCGCTTTGCCTGTTTCAAAACCGTTTCCCCGTATTCATAGTCGAATAATTCCATCCAGCGTCCTTCACGGACGGATGCAAACACTGTCATGCAATTATTGACTACTTCGAGCAACATTCCTAATTGACAATTTTGCCGCTGACCGCGTTCTACATTTATATCTTAAGGTTTTCAAATTAATTCCCTATTCAAATTTTTTAGTGTTGTGGAGTCCTCCAAGTAGTTGATTTTGCTACAGATTATTCATTAAAATTAAATTCGAAAAACGTTATTTTCTTGATTATCTAAGAATTGATAAAAAAGGCATCTTTTTTAATGTATTCATAAAAAAAATGTATCCAATATATTATTACTATTTATTTGTTACTAATCCAGATTTTTTTTTCACCTTTTTGTAAGCAGGCTAATGCGAGGCTTGTCCTGATTGCAAATTCTCATGTGTTTCAGTGGCCGCAGCCGGACACGGCGACTCGCTGCTGAAGCCCAAGGGTCGTTACTCGGAGCTGCCGCGCGTGGTCGAACGACCCTACTTCGACGACGTGTCCCCGCGCAACGTGACCGCCGTGGTCGGCCAGCCGGCCGTGCTCAACTGCAGGGTCAAGCACATCGGCAACAGAACGGTGAGTTCCAAACTTTGCCGGAACAAGTGGCCGTAAATCAAAGAGCCTGTTTGCCATGAAAATTACATCAAAAGCAGAGACCGGCGAAATATCTAGTGCGGTTTGCTTGTTTACGTCGCCCAAGAGGAACGCGCAAGAGAAAGCTACAGATGAAAGACGACTCCTCGAAACCAAACAATAAAACAATTCTTGTCCCCAGTGCGCGGCGACGAAAAGAAAGCAGCCTCTCTTATTTCCCTTGGGCGTCACACTTGAAACGAGAGTAAAAACAATACAAATAACAAATATATATTCTTGAAGAAGAAAACGAAGGGACAATTTGTTTCGCACCCTCATCTTTTCCTTATTATACTTTCAAGTTGGAGATGGAATGGGCAGGACATTAGAAAAAAAATGAGACGTCTGCAAAGTTTTAGAACTTTCAAAAGTCATGCAAATCACAAATCACTTTATGAAGTGATTTTTCAGTTTCCTTTCGACCCCCGTAGATTTTAAAAGAAAAGTGAAAGTTCGCTTTGATACAGATATAAATGTTATTTTCTAATGTTCGATTATTTTTAAATATTGCAAAATGATTCTTTTATGAAAATAAGCAGGGAAAATTAATCTGATCATCTTTTTATTTATTTTGATTCCAAAATGTGGTAAAAATTTATTTAGATCTTGTAAAAGATAAAAGATAATGGTCATGAAGGATAATTGGGCTTTGAAAAGCAGAACCGGGCGCACTTGCGGCATAATTTAATGGTTGGGTTCGGCGCAAAGATTCTAATTTTCATCAAATTAACATATTTCGTTGGGCTCTTTCTCCAGTTCTCATTTGAATACAAGACGTTTTGCGCACAAGGCCGGATCAAAAGCCCGTTAAAATTGTCTTGCAGGCGGCGTTTCGCTGGAAATGTGCCGGTCGCTCCCTTTCTACTCGATTCCTTCTTTTCGCTCCACTCGTGGTGTAAAAGGATTAAACTCGGCAAAAGAACATTTCCTTGTGCGAGCAGCAATTTTATACGTCGGTGGCGGTGCGAGCTGCTGCTGCTGGTGGGTAATAGAATTTGATGGCCTTTCTTCCACTCTAATATCCAATTGCTGTTGGACGAACTTTGCAATATTCCGTCGGACGACGAGCAGCACTCGGAAACTTTCAAAAGACTTGCACGATCGGCCAGTCAATTTCCAACGGCCTATTTAATAATATCAAGTAGTGCTGCCGAACAGATTTAATCGAAGGAGATGAAAGTGAAAATCAAATTTATAGTGGGTCTGAAAGTGAAACTCTAGCGATAAAATTTCTGAATATTTCCTTTGTTTATTAGTACTTTATAAAATAGCTGATTGTGATCATTAAAATTTGATATTTAATCTACAAATACTTGTACCATCCATTCAGGATTGTGAATCCATAAACATAATTTCTAATATTTAAACTGGTTTCATATTAATTAAATAAATATTTTTCATTTAAGGATCATTGAAGAAAAAATGAATATATTAAAAGATTAAATAAAATTTTTATTTTATTTTATATATTATTCAATCTAGCATTAATTTTCATGTCGAATTCACCCTTTTCCTTCATATTTTGTCTTTTTCTGCAGTTTTCAATATTCCCTTCGCAAACATTTATCTAGTTTTCTTCTTTTTTTCTAGTATTTTTAGGGGTGTCTGTACAGCTAGAGACGACAGTTATATTTGTTGGCTCCAGCAATTTTGGATAAAGTCTGGGAAGACGCGCGTCTGGCGATGTCACCGTTCTTCCGCTGATACACTCACTCGTCGCCAAAACTTATTTTGCCTGGTGCTATATTGGTGAGCCAAGTTGCCAGAGTCAATTTTAACGCTAAGCAATGCCCGCCGGCTGACGAGCAAAACTCCCTCTCGCACACATGCCTCGCTCCTTTTCCTTTTTCCTCGAGACGAGTTTCTCTCTCACAACAAACTTTTGCTGCCGAAGGTGCCGCCGCCGCTCGCCCACCGCCTTTGCAGATATATATACATATGTACCGTAATTGACTGCTGAACCTAATGAGTCGGCCGCGGCGTGTATATCGATTTCCAAACTGCTTTGCGACAGTTTCGCCGCAGAAATGGGTTTTCCTATACGTCTCTTTTCCTGTAACGAGCAAATGCTCAACGCACGTTCTCGGTGCAGATTTTTCCTGGATTTCCGTCACAGGTGTGGCAAATCAACTTTCGACTTTCACCGTGTCCGATTGGAAAAAGTCAGATTTGTGAGCAAAAATAGAAGAAAGAAATTTATTAACCAATGAAATGAGAATGATTTATTATTTTATCTTTAATATTGAAGTTTTTTATCTGAATAATTACTAGATTTAATAAAATTTTCTCTGGCATTTTAAGTTTATTTAGTGAAAATGAAAAATTTTTTTTTTTTCATATCCAAAGATCAAATAATCAAATAAAAGAGAAAAGGTGAAAGTGTGACGTTTGTGGATCTTAGAATGATTTTGATTGATTAGAAAAGAAATAATTTAAACCATTTTACGTTCATACATTATCACTCATCGGGTTCATTGTGGAAAGTAATGAAGCTGATTACTGCTTGATTTGAATTAATTAAACCAAATCATCTAGAAATACACTGGCGTTCACCTCAAATTCAAATAATGTAGCCCTTCGAGTATCAAAGCAATTCCACCTTTGTGATCGGCACTTAATCGGATTAATTACACAAATGACAGACGCACATTCTCAGTTGATAATAATTTGTGCGACAAAGCTTCTGCTGGTGCGTGTCTTTGCAAGGTTCTGGGAGAATTCGCGACGATTTTTCAGCCCGACGGAGCTTTTGGGCTCATTTGCAAGCGAATCGTTCCGGGTTAGGTATTGCGAGCTCGGTGACGGCGAAAAATCGGCCACCGGCCCATTACTTTTTGCCGGGCGTGGCGCTCAACGCGGCCCCCGGGAGCCACTTTGCTGACGACGTGGCAAAATTCAAATCTCTTTTCCATGGTAAACAGTGTTGGCCTGGCAAAAAAGCGCATTTTTCCCCATCGTGAGGGCTCGACACGGAGTTCATGAATGCACAACAAACGCGACCCTTTTGTTGTGCCTTTTTTAATACACTTTTCAATGTGAAGAATGAAGTGATTTTTTCTATTGAAGTTTTTCCTTAATCGTACAAAAACATAAAAATATTTTAGAGGTCTAGTTAATAATTAATAAAAAAATTACACATAAATGGTGAAAATATATGTTATTATTATTGAGGAATCGAATTGCAAAAATGATTATTTCTGACGTAAGCTATCATTGCTGAAATCTTTGCAATTTATTATCAGCATAGTTTTGCAACTATAAATATAATTTTGAATGATTTCAAAGAATTATTGAATTAATTACTGCAGTGGGAAAAACACTAGATTACTTTAGCTTATATTTATAATCAAAAATAGAAAATTGAATATAGTAAGTCATTTTCATTAATTTTATTTCAAATTCACAATAATAGCTCAACCTATGGCTTTATTATTATTTTTTTTTTTAATTTTAAATGTGTTTATTTATTTAAAATGTAAATTTTAATCTAACGAGTTAACAGCGGATGTTTTTCCAAGCAAAATGTTGATTTTACTCTCTGTAAACATAAATTACTATCTTTCGTCAGCCTCAAATTAACGACAATTTTCTTCAAAAGAAAACACTCTTTGAGCGTCATGTTGGAGCGCTCGAATCTGGCACGTCGATCGCTTTCCCCCCAGATTGAATTGGAGTAAGAAATTGTTGACTTTTCATCTGGGCCAAGCACGTTTGCCACCTGCTCGCTCTCTAGCTCTCTGCGTAAATATAAAAGTGGCGTTGATAAAGGCGCGTGGGTAATGGTCGTTATTAGCCGGCGAGGCAATAAAAGCGGCCGCGATAACGTACCAGCCGCACATGCACTCCTTTTTTTCGCTTCTTTGTCGGCGGCGATAACTCATGTGGAGCCGAGCGAGTATTAACCGGAGCCATTAATAAATCGTGGCCAGATTAAATGGATGCAATATCATCTTGCTCTCTGCTGCGCGGTGCATGTGTGCGCCGAGGTGAAATTGGATTGAAAAATTGATAGCCCTTAGCCAGTCAGCCGCTTCCTGATGCTGCTTTTCGATTTATGCTCGCGATCCTTTGACCTGCGCCGAAGAGATGGATTTCCCGATTAAATATTCAGTATTGATTTAATATGCTCTCGAGAAATGTTTCATCTGCTGAGCAGACTTCCACTTGGAATAAACTGCATAAAACCTTTTCATTTGCATAAGTGCATTTATCTTCAATGAGAGGAAGCAAATTGTTGTTAATTACTTCTTGCATTTAAACCTAAACTTTTAAATCAGGAAAGGCATGATTAAATTTTAGGTGACAATTAACCATCAAAATTTGTAAGTTGATTTATTTACAAATATTACATTATTAAATTTGGCAACAATTTAATTATTTATAAGGAAGAAATGACAATTTAAATATAAAACTCAATTAATAACATATTATTAAGAAAAGAATATTAAATAAAAAATAAAGTTTATTAATAAAAAATTTTTAAACTTTATTTTAGTAAAAAAATATTTTTTATGTGCAAGTTAATAATAATTAATAAATTATATATTTTATGTTTGCAATTCATATTTTTCTGAAAATATAAGATTTTATGCGCCTCAAATATTTTGATTGTCTTTTTTGTTATTAGAAATAATAAAATATGAAATAGCTATATATACCTGATAATGATTTAATAACTAATTTATTTTGTCTCTTCTAAAATTTGTGAAAATTTGAACATTCAAAATAATTGAAAATTGTAATAGATTTCTTGAATTACATAAAAACTGGTAACAAAAAAAATTTACTGCAAAAAAATAAAAACGAGAAGCGTTTTGTCTTCCGATCAAAAGCCGATTTGAACTTTGAGCGGGAGAAAAGTGTTCCGCATGAAGGAGAGATCAGTCAACAATAAAATGAATATCCGCTGGCGGAACGTCTCTTGAAAAGCCACTTACTTAATC